TCCGGTCTTTGCCAGGACCGGCCAGTCGCTGGTGTGCCCTGTCGCTGACAGATCCGGGGTACACCGACATAGCGGCCGATGGCTTTCGCAGTGGTTTTAGTGAGTAGGGGCCTGCCCAGGCCGAGCCTCACACATCCCTTCCGGCCCCACCAAGGCCGGTTGGACGGCTCGTAAAAAGAGTTTCCACTACGTCATCAAAAAAAAAAAAAAAAGCCTTTAGTTGCAATGAACTTAGCATAAGCATTTAGTTTAGATAACAATTACTTAAATGGAATGCAATAAAATATCAATATCGGAACTTACATAAAATATGAGTGACAGTAATGACTTCGCGAACCCATACCCCACTGCAAGAACCAGAAGATTATTGGTATGATACAAGATATTATGTAATTTCTATTTTAACTCTAGGCTACCGCATTGCTTTCGATTAATTTTTATTTTTCTTAAGTATTTTAGTAGTGTTCCTTGACACTCTGAATAGCTGTGACTCGGACTAATATAAACAAATGAAAAACATTAAAAATGTGTTTCAAAGACATACATTTACTAATATTCATAAACAGACCTCCGCAAAACATATTTACTTATACATATGGAAGTAAATATATTTTGGTATAATTATTATTTTTAATAAAATCTTTATAAAATATATAAAAAACATGCAATTAGCACTCTTAAATTAAAAACAAATTAATCCAAATAAAATTATCATCAATAAGTCTAAAAATAACTATTTTATATTTTAATTCTATAATATCAAGTAAATTAAGTATAATATAACATTTACTGAATTTAATTGCCACTGTTTATGGTTCGTTGAATAAATGTAAAGCAAACACGCAATAATTTGAATAAAGAAATAAACAATTAGGTTTTAATTTATTAGGTGTAAATTTATTGTTACTTTAATGATGTAAGTGGTGGGACATTTCATTAATGTATCGTCGTAAAATAAATAGTTTTCTTTTAATAAAAAGGAAATCATTCATTCATCATAACAACTTTTTATTCTACATAGTTAATCTAAAATTATTTATTTTTACTTTTCTGTGGAAAATAGTTAATAACGAACGATACTATAAAGTTCCAAAACGTTAACAATGTTACCCCATTTATAAAATTTTAAACATGAATTCAATCAACATGTTAAAAGAATGTTAAACACCCAAATTACTTTAAAATTTATTATAAACTGCTTGCAACCGCGAATTTATCCGCGTGAAATGGGAACTTTGGACATGATTTATTTGTTACACCTTTTAGTGTATCCTAGAGTACAAAAATCGTCTTTATGGTATCAAAATATAACTTTTTTCTTTTCTATTACTTGACGTCAAACTTTTTAACGTCTTAAAAAAACTTCGTAGCACCCTTTTTTTGTTTCGGAGTTAATAAATAAATGAAACTTAAATGTATTTATAATTGAAGTAATAAGATATTGTCAGCATAACTTGAAAACAAATTAACATATATACTAAATGAATACAATATGCGCATATTTGAAATTTACAGGGCATTGGCACGACTTTGGCCTCGCTTTATACTCAAAGCTTTGTGTGTACCTACAAATGTCTGTCTTAAGCAGAGCCCTATTTCGTATGATTGATTATATAGATCTCAAGTCAACTTGCTTTGGTTATTAAAAATTTCTCTCTGATTTTTATCATAATTATTAATAACCATAAGTTTCTCCAGGGTAAAATTAATTAAATATATTCGATTATATTTTTTTACATTTGTATTCCTACTTTCTATTGCCCGACTGCCAAAATAATAAAAAAAGGTATATTTACCATAATATATTAGTGAAAACGACTACTTAATAAGAACCTTATTATTCTTATAAGATTTTTGTGAGATTATCGTGCAAAGATAAAATTCTAACGATAATTATTTTGAGTTGAAAAGGTCCCAATTATGTTTTTTTCTCATATATCTTCAATATAAAGACAGTGACCTGTTATTTATTAAATTGTTTACATTGTTGCATCGATAAATATATATTTAATTAAAATAGTAATCTACTTGTAGCACAAATTAAAACTTTTACTTTTATTTCATTATCGATAAAAGTTATAATTTCAGAAATTTGCGCAAGTATACGTCATTTGAACACAGTTTTGGTTTCCACCAGATGATTACTTTTCAGTGAGCGTGATCACAGGAAGACGAGATTAAAGTATACTTCAATTTGTCTTGTTACGTCTCAACATCTTTAATGCCTACTTAAAATAAATCTCATTAACATCACTTTAATCCCTGCAGCAAACCTTAATGATATTTTACTCCACTGGTGTTTAATAAGTTTTATTTGTAGTTAACACACGGTTAATGCTGAAAACTTGTCAATAGATTCTTTATCTTTATTCTTTGAAAACTGCCAAAATATTTTTAAAACGAAGACAGGATCAAAGGTCAAAATAAATTTTCAAGTACATATGTAACTCAAACAAACAAAACTGTTTTTTAAACATTTTTTTTTCTCAATGATATAATCTTTTCCGTGTTAAACGATGAAGCTTCTAATATTTGCGTCTAATTAGTTTAACGTAATTAATTTGACGAACATTTTCACGCTTTCCCCTTTGTTTTCATGTGAAGCAATTATATTTAAACAAATCAAGTGTTGATGATGTACTTACGTAATATCAGTCTACTTTTAATAAGTTTATCGTATTAACGAATACTAACTTATAAAAAAGATAATTTTTTTTGTTATAAAGAAATATTTTACATTTTACAAGGCACCAAACACTACAATTTCTACGATAGGAACCAGAAAATGAACTGTAACAAAATTAATCAACCTTATAATATTTTCAATATAATATTTACATTAATACTTAACACGAGATCATTGGAATATCCCAAGCCATTCCCATAGAAGTAGGTTAAACCTCCAAGGAAGCCTTTGTGTGCGTGATCGGCTTTCATTTTCAAAGCTCTTTGGAATTCTACAGCGGAAACGCTGACATTGACTGGTTTATCTCCTTTATTTAATAATAGATATATTGAATGTAATATTTATGATTTGAAAACAGACGGAACAAGAGAGATTTCCTGTATTGGCAAATGGATTCCTTTTTTAAACTTATTTACTTCTTAGTAATCCAATTTCAAAGAAATCTATATTAAGTTTGTTTACCAGATCCTTAGCATTAAATTTACATATTTGAATTAAAATGGTGATAATTTTTGCCTTTCATACTATTTACTCCTATATTATATTGGTTGGTTTAGTGCCTAACTGCTAAAAATAGGGTCATACAGGAAAAGGCGAAAACGTAATCCTGACGCTTAGACATGTAAGCTGTACTGATTAAGCTTTCAAGCAACATCTTTACGTTTTATAGAGAATTCAAATGATTTTATTTCATGATAAAACCCACAACTTTAATACAATCCTATCACAGTTTTTCAAAATCATTTAACGTCAACCAAATTTATTTGATAAAAATCGGTTGAATATTTTTTTGGATCAAAGTGTGTATTCATGTATTTAAAAAAAGATTTGAAAACTAAGAGTAATATATATGTCGCTCCGAGAGGCTAGTCGTATCAAAAATATTCCATTTCGTGTATTCGTTCCTTATAATTGTTTCCAAATATGGTTACATATTAGTCCATCGTTATTGGTACTGAAGGCCCAGACTCGAAAGCCTTTAAAGGAACTAGTGTTTTGAGCTCAGTTCCACGAGTATCCTCTCGCTCTCACACATAAATATATATACTCTCACAATGTATTTATATAAATATATACATAGTGAGAGTGCCATTATGGAGTTAATATAACAGTTTTATATCGTGTAACACTTGTATGGCCGGGCTTTCTGAGTGCTTTCGTGTGTGGAAATTGTTACTATTGCTCACTACAGTGTATAAACATGTGATAGTAATATCCTCTTTTAAGAAAAGAAAACTAAATGTTATCCGTTGCGCACTATATGTTATTCAGATAAACAAATTTCGAATTTAATAGTGCAGTATAGCGAAAGATCATTAAGAAAATTAAGGATTCTCTTAAGCTTATTGTAATAAAAAATTTAACATTGTTCGTAATAAATAATAATCACTTTTTTAGCGTACATAAAGAACTAATATTATTATATAGTGGCTCGGAAGACTCGTAACATTAAATAATTAAATGATTTAAGAGAATTTAATTTATGTTCAGAAATGTCATATGTGTAAATGATTTCGTCCAACTCAAATATTATTTAATGTGAAATGTCTATTTTATAAGTAGTAAGTCAACACCCACGTAATAAACTGTTCCTACTGATGTTTGTGGTCGCTTGCACGTCCTCCGTCCATAACTCGCTGTTAACGAAATTTATAAACGTCATTTATATCCAGGCAACCCAACCAACTAATGAGCTTAATATTTATATTCGTATACAATTTAGAATAAAATTTTGTTGACCATAAATCTCTTAAATAAATTTTATAAAATTGCTTCTTTGGAAATCCTTTACTACCTAAAGTCTATAAAAAAAACCGTCATTGTCAACCTGCACATGTGTAACGATTTTAATTAAATTGTCGACAATATGAATCTATTATAAGTTTTGACAATTAAATCTTCAAAACAGTTGACATTTACGCTAACAATGTTTGCAGAAATATTTCTCAGTAAGAGTATTAGTATTTTTAGCGAATACCAACGTTTGAGTAATAATTAGCAACGAAACTTAAAGCTGTCAATAGAATTATGTTGAATAGCTCGTGGAATGACCGCTGAATTGAGTGTCATCAGGATGAGCCAATTTTGCTAATTGAAGTGATAAACTGAACACACAAATGCCCTATAATTGTTCTGAGAGGCTACAAGTGTAAATTAACAAACGATCGTGTTTTATAGCTCGACGAAATTAAAATTGTTATTTATTTGTTAAAGAAAGAGATACAAAATTATGCAATGCACATTGTTTTCTTTAGAAAAGCATAAAAATACATTTTCAAATAAATGTGAAGCTTTTAGCTAGTGATAAAATTCATTAAGAACTTTTACTTTCCATTGACGACTCGAGCATGACGTAATAGGAGAAGGTTGTTTTCAAAATCTGAAAATTCCGTAGTAGTGAATGGTAGTGAATTATACATATACATATATTTTATTATTGATGAGGCATTAGGCAAATTATATACATACTGATATCATAGGTCTAACTCCAGCAATAAGCCCTCCAAGGGCTTCAAATTCCATAGGAATTTGAACTTTCTGTAATAATAGCATAGCAGTTTTTTGATTCGAAACTGACATATTTTCCCAAGGCATGCCATATACTAAATCAGGCAGGTCATCCGCCTTTAAAATAAAAAAATTAAAGTTTGTAAAGAAATGTTTAAAATATTAATCAATGACTTTAAAATACACAATACCTGTCGTTTAACTTCATCAACAACAAATGATATCAATATTGGTCCTCCAGTGTATGCCATTATCATTGTTATGTAAAGCATAATATTCTCTTTTCCCTATAAGGGTAGAAAAATAATTTTACTAATAATAATTTAGTTAAACACAATCTTAATTCTAAACAAGGATTTTCAAAAATAAACATTTAAACAAACATTTAACAGCAAACTTAATGTTTTGTATCAAATAAAACACAGGTTACTTAAAACAAGGTCATAAATTTGATAAACATAAAAATGAAATACATTTTTCTAAACTTTTGCCATGTGCGAATTTAATTTACTACATTTAATAAAGCAGTAAATGTACAAGTCGGAGTTTTTAAATCCTTTCGATGAATGTAATCTAAACTGAACAATAAGCTTCTACTGATATGATATTATTCTATAATGGAATATTAATATTTATTTGATTAAAATACTTACTCCATATTTGAGTTGGTACAATAATACGCTATTGCCAAATAAATTTTGAACGTAAATTGCGGCTACATTGACTCCAAACGCCGATTGTGCCTTTTTGAATTGGCTGTAAAATAGCGGATTGAAATATTCTTTTTTTATTGCTTGATTTTTTACAATTCGCTTTTTTCGTAAAAACAGAACCTATTACTTACTTAATAATGAATAAATGATACTTTATAATACTTATGAGATGTTCTCTAACATCTGCATCAGTTAGATTATCCAATGAAGTATTTTGTATATTATTTTTCAGAATCTTTATATGAGCAATTATATTTAAAAGAACGATATTATTTAACGATTGAAATTGCATCAGCACTGTTACACCACAAGCAATAATATAAGCATTAACAGTATGTATGACAATCCAATTATTATAATTGTAACTGTAATCCAATGGAACCCAAAGGTAAACACACGTTTGAAGTTTCATTGTTCGGTTTGCAATAAAATCTCCATTCCTATAGTTGTTTACAGCTGGTATAAAAACCCATCCAAGACAATTGGAAATAAAGAAGAATATTAAATAAGAAGCCGCAAATCGTACAAGGCGCTCGGTTAAAATAACTTGCTGAAAATAAAATTAAATGTGTTAAGGTAATTAAATATATAAATAATTGATGCGACAACGATAAAAAAGAAGGGTTACTCGTTTCACGAATTCGTCATTATTTTTATATACATTATAGACATGTATTTGGGTCATAAATTCTTTAATAACAATTTTAAAATTATTAAACTTTGAAGAATATATGTTCACCTAAAACAAACATTTTTCTGTTATATCGCAAAACACAACATTGACATGTAATATTAAAAATGATTTAAAAATTCACTTACACAGGCTAATAGACTAGCTGGCCAAATGGAAAATATAATTCCCAGCGTGTCAAATTCAAGATCGCGAAAGTTAAAATATAGAAATAAAAATTGCGAGAATCCAACTACGGGTCCAAATACAAATATCATCAAACTATTGAGCTGAAAAATTCTTGGAACTTTTTGATACCCCCATGTTTCTCTATTTCCCACGCCCACCAAAGACATGATAGTCGCAAAAATCTTGTAGAAGGTTTGATTTTTTGGTAATTGTCTATAATCAATGAATATATATATATATGTTAATATAAAGTATGGTTCAGTTGCACACCAAATAGTATTATTTTAAGGTCTATTATTTTTATCCATATTTTTGTAATACAACAATAATTTTACACATGCAAGCTCAAACAGAGATTTTCGAGATGTGAAGTTTCAGCAGCTTTATCGATGACACTTATCTATCTTCAAATCTATTATTATTAAGTATTATATTTTTAGTTTAAATCATGTATATATATTGATATACATATATAATGATAGAAATTATCAAAAGTTATTTATATACTCACAGATAGTAATCATCACCCATATTGAAGATAAGAAAGTAGTCTACTAGATTGATAATAAAAGCAAAACACGGTTTAAAAAAACTTCGAGTTCTTTAAGAATCAGTAAGATGTTATTGTTTTAAAGTCTCCTTTACAAAAGAAATACAAAGAGTTGTACAACTAAGAGCCGCTGCAGCCAAGTACCTACTCCTACGAACTTTTCCCCTACTACGTACTTTCTATTACATTTTTTCCTTTTCTTGAATAGTTCTAGAACTTACACACATGGTTTATATAAAATATGTATTGGAATATATTCATATTCGTTAAATAAATATAAATTAATAAGTAATAAACTAAAGCATGCATGCACATGGTATGTGAACAATGTAAAGTATAAAGACTTAACTTTATTAACATATTGTATTTAAATAAAATATTTTGTAAATTTTATTAAATTTAAATACGCCACATGATAATATGGGCAAAAACATTGATAGTAAAAAAATTAAGTACTGTATTATTAAAAAGAAATCGTTAGTGAGCAAGTTACAAGTTCACAATAAATAATTAAACGCTTTATTTACTTTTAAGTCTTTGTGCATTCATAATGTTATGATATATTATTTAACATATGAGAAGTTTCTTGATATAACATTTGTCGTCAATTATAAAATTAATAAAAGTATACATTACAGTTTTTGCAATTAACGACAAAATAAAAGAATTTAACCACTTGTGTTTCCATAATATTTTCCATTATCTAAATTACGTTCTTGGTGACTAAGACAATTATTATTTCTACAAAATCAAACAACTGGATGTTGTAATTACACGAGTGAACTCCTGTAATAGATAGCCGTAAACCTTGGCACTATTATTGTTATTTGTGATATGGTATTAGCAGCGCTCCAAATTGGCGCTATTACAGATAAGACGCAACCCCAGATTCTAGTTCGTGTAAGGCGGATTATATCCGTCTGAGAGCTTGTGTTAGATATAACATATTTGATAAGCATTTTTTCCAACACTAACAGAATTTTTAATCTCTTCTGTAAGTATAGTATGTAATTAGGATCTCTTCGTAATATTACAATACACTACTACTTATTATGAGAAAAGTTTAAAATCTTTATATGTATCTGCTAAGACATACCTGGATTTTAGTATGATTAGCACCCTTAGGTCCATATTGATTTTGGTAATTCTTAGTCAATAGGTTTAAAAGGCACCGTGAAATTTGAAATTTGCGATGGTGACGTATTATAAACTTCCCTGTAGATTTGTTGATATAGAAGTTTGATTTTTATTACTGCTCATTGGCGAGTGAAGGCAATATTTTGATACGTTTCCAAGAAAACGCACATTTGTACTTATTATTGGATGTACAAGGGGGCACATGAAAAACAAAATGGTCACAATAGCAATGGTCAAGATAGACAGGAGTCTAAATTTACTGAAGTACAGAATTCCATATGTTAACATTAACCTTTTATATCCTTTTCAATTTGGAAGTGATCCATCTTTAATTTCAAATATAGGAGAAAAAAACTTTAGAGTATTTCCACAGGGGCCAAATAATTTATTCAAATGTTGGCACTAGTTCGTGTAGTCGACCTTTGAATTTTTTTTTGGTTTCTATCTGAAAAGAGACATTGAGGATACGAACATTATTATTATACCAATTTTTAAATTTAATATTTTATCGTATATCATTATATGAAATAAAACTAGCATCCTTTTCTAAAAATGTTTAGTGAAAACTATTTTTATTATGTAAGTTAATTTTTTTTCAAAAAGTCATGGAGATTCTTTCTTTCAATAATTCTCCACTTATATGTACTGTATGTTGTTAATGATAAAGTAAATTCCATTGAGAAATATCATACTTTAAATAATTAAAAAGAATTTTCCTAGAGAGGGACTTTTTCTTTGAAATCTCCTTCAAAACCAGATTGTATACGTAAGTTTCAAGTATACTCATAATGATAATAAATACAAGGGTAATTGAATTTAAAACTTTTTACTTTTCTAGAGTTTTCTTGTCTATGGAAACAAAGTTTTTTATTTCGCGATACACATTGAACGAATGAGAGCTGGAACAAAAACTTAAAAAGAGTTTTCCGGTGCTTTTATTTTAGTTATAACTACGTATAAATGAAGAAAGTCAAAGAAAAGGGTGCCATCAAGTCTAATGCTCGGTCTATCTGGATATATAAACATCTACAATAAAGTCCTTCGAAAAACACCTTATTTTTCCTACTTTCGAAATTGATTTTTGGCAAAATTTGGATTGCCAGCCACTTTTCTACATTTTTGTGTTCAAAAACATTGTAATTAATTATAATATCATTGTAGATTAAAATCATTAAGTATTTTATTAAAAACAAATGTAGTTAGTAGACCTTAACAGTGTTTTATTTTTAAAAATACAAATACACAGACAAGCTTAAAAAATAATTTTCTATAAGTGATTCCTTCTTAAAGAAGTTCATTAGAAGAAAAAATTGAATACTGTTTTTAGAAGTGAATAGTAAAGAAATCTGGTCAATTATTAATTTTATTGTCCTTCTCTTAATGTACTTTACGATGGTGTGCTTGTACGGATGACTAAGATTCATCACCCTTTATAAACCAGAGGTGGTACAAAATAAATTCGTTTGCATTATTTCAGTTATAATTTGATTCTCGTGTAGTGTTGATTTCTATAGGTATCTCCAAATTTTCTCAATATAATCGACTGAGTGGACTCACTTGATAATCAGTTCAAGACTATTGCAGAGAGAATTTTGGGAACCTCGAAATATAATCCAAATTTGTTGCTTTTAATTTTGGCGGATTATTCACTGAATAAAACTCCGAACTGTACTGGAGAAATTCTAAACAAGTGTTTCTACACAGTGACAATTATATACCAACTGAAAATACAGACACAACTGTTCCATACACACATAGCGCCGCGCCCGTCAAACGAAAATCCTCATTTTAATTCTTTTCGAAACGCGACCCCACTTTAAGCACGTGACTCTAGCATTCTGCCGGCAACGGATAGTCTCTTCTCAACAAAGTCTTCAGTTGAAGTTTTGCCTCTTAAAGAAACTGTTGGCTGTGAAAGCCAATAGGGCAAACATCTTCACTTCTAAAAAAAACTCTTGTTAGCTGCCTTGGCATATTATTAAGCTCAAAACATTGTAAATCGATTTGAATTTCATTGTACTCAGATGTTTAATAATAACTTAAAAATTATATCAATCCGATCGACGTTGTAAATTTAATATTTTTTTTTAATTATATTTTTACTGTTGATTTCTGATCATTATATTGTGGCCATAATTCGTCTGAGGTTATTTTTAAAAACACGTTTATATTTTGTTTATGTAATGTAATAATTATTTATAACATTCTATATAAATCTCATCCCTACACCCACGTTAAAGATATATATTGTTAGTATTTAATTAAAATGGCCACGCAAGATCTTATTTAGGTATAAAAACAAATATTACAAAAATTCTTGCTCCTTATGTTATATTTAGTAACGTGACTATTTTAATATGATGATGTTGCTACAATTCTCTCCATTAGTCTTTCATTTTATATATGGACAGATCAAGCGATGTGATAAAACATTTTTGTATATCTATGACATATTACTTTTAAAGAAGTACTTATGCATATACATAATCATAGCTTAATAATATAGAGCCCCTGAAGATATATTATCTTCAGGGGCTCTATATTATTAAGCTCATTATTATGAGGACTACAAAAAATATGGAAGCCTTTTGTTTTTTTTCGTTATGTACTGAAAATCGGAATAAATATCTTGGTGTGAAACGATCATATGTTGTTTGGCATTTAGTAATTATAGTCATGTGTACTATTGAAAATGCTTAAAAGATTATTTCACGCAAATATAATAACAAAGAACGTATAAAAGCATAAATTGGAATTAATTCGAAACCGCTATAATAATAATAACGTCGTTAATTATACAACATGTGGTATAATTTGTTACTACATAGTATCGTCAAAGTTATAAAGTTAAATTTCTGTTCTCGAACACAGTCGCAATTATTTATGACAAACTAAATACTAAGCCATGTGTGTAACACTGGAAACTTTATGTTTCTTCAAGTAAAACCACAATTTTGAAAAAAACTTTAAAATGTAAATTAGAAGATATTTCTATGAATGATGGCATTTATTGACATTGCTACTGAATATTTTCACAATGTCTGACTAGCATTGAATGTCTATCGACGCTTTGGTTTGTATGGAATAGAAATGAAAAAGCAAAATTTTAGTTATTACAAATCTCTTGAATACCTTCTAACCTTCTAATGTAACACATAGATCAATGAAAGTATTTTCCAACTAGTTATCGCTTATCAGAAAGAAAGCCTACAACCTTAAAGAGAAACCAGTGACTTTTAAAAAGTAATAACTAAAATAAATAACTTCCAAATTTTTGAATATTTTTGGAAAACATATGTTCTCATTTCTCATAAACGGTGTTTACAAAACATACCTTTGTTATACTTATATTTTGTTGAGCTTGTCAAATGACTCTAGAACATAATCGGAAACTTATATTGAGTTTTATCCATCAGAAAATCAAAACGTTGCCACTTTCAATCTTCGGTCTCGGTTTTCAGTTATTGGTTTTCCCTCTTT